ATTTATTTATTACATTTATCTATTTATTAAATGAATATATATAGAATGCTCATGAATGGAAAGATTTATTGTTATTAAGATATCAGTTCTCCCTAACTGATCTTTAGACCATTAGACCTTTAGAAAAAAAAAAATTAAAATCACAATGAGCTATTACTATATACCTATTAGAATGGCTATAATTAATATTTTTTAAATTGGCAAGCCAATCTTTGACAAGGATGTGAACCAATTGGAATTCTTGTACATTGATCATAGGAAGGTAAAATAGTATCCCTACTTAAGAAAAAAAATCTGTCAGTTTCTTATAAAGTTAAACATACACCTACCAAATCACCCAGCAGTCTTGTTCCTGTTTATTTCCCCCAAAAGAAATAGAATTTATGGTCACACAAAAACTTGTTTTTTAATGTTTTTTTAACTAAAAATTCAAAATCACTCAAAATTTCTTCAAATGATGAATTTATAATCACCTTAAAGTATGTCCATAAGATGGAGTATTACTCAGCAATAAAAAGCAATGCATCACTGATACTCACAAAACTTAGATGAATCTTAGGCACATTACAGTAAGTGAAAGAAACCAGATTCAAAGGGCTACATAGTGTATAATTCAGTTTACATGGCATTCTGGAAAATGTAAATTATAGAAACAGAATACAGATCAGTGATTTCTAATGGTTGGAGGTGGGCAGGAGAGGTTGACCATAAAGGGGTAGAAGACAGAAGATTTTGAGGTTAAGTGTTCTGTATCTTAATTGTGGTGGTGAGTACATGACTATTCATGTTTGTCAAAAAGTCTAGAACTGTACACCAGAAAGCATGAATTTTACTGTGTAGATTTTTAAATAGTAAATATAAAACAAACAAAAAGAGATTAGAAGATATAGCAAGTAGTCAATAAATGTTACTAGAATTATTAGTATTAATATTTACTATTACTCACATGGCTAGAAAAGTGGAAAATGGACTATGAGAGGTACAAATGGAATGCTATAATAATAATAAATGTGAATTCAATCAAGAGGAATGAAGAACCATGAAAGGAAGCAAAAAAGAATCTGTTCTGCAAAGGAGTAAGAAGAAGGAACTGGGAATAAAGTATTGATTTATAGGGACCAAGAGTCCAATTACCAAGAATTAATTGATAAACTCAAGTTTGATCTGAATGGGCATCAATAAATAAGGACTCCCTTGAGTTTGGGGTGAGGGATGGGGAAGCAGTAGAATGGGTTTTTGTGGAGGGGCAGTACTCAGCCTCATGTGTGTGTCCAAATTATAAATGAGGAAGGGCTACCCAAAATAAGATAAGGCTGGCGGGAACGGGACACAGAGAGGTGTCCTGGGAATCAGGGCACCTAGATCCCTGGGTGTTGAGCCAGACTCCAGACTCTGAGGACATGGCAGCCAGAACTAAGGACACATTCAGAAATCTAACCAAACTCAGACAGCTGATGTGACTGCAACCTGGTACTCATGGCCTAAATTCATCTCACCAGTTGCCCAGACACCAGTGTGGAAGCAAGCAGTAAACTCTGCCAGAAGTTCACTCCTTTGGTGAGTTTTTTGGTAAAAGGAAACAGGATGGAGTAGAGAATGGAAGAAAAGAGCCATTAACATATGCAGCTGAGCTTTCATTGGCTTTGTGTCAGAGTTACTTTCCACAGATGGGGAATAAGGGATAGTGCCTGAAAACAACCAACCAACCAATCAATCAATCAAACAAAATGGGGGCTAAGATAGTTATCTCAGGAGATACCTGGGACTGCTTCACAGTGATGATATTTAATTGGACTTGGAGAAATTTGTACATCAAAAATGTGGGGATAGATAAAAGGAGGGAAAAGAGTGGTTAAAGAAGAAAGCAAGATTGTAAGACAAAAAAGAAGAAAATATTGAAAATAAAGGTGATGAAGGCAAAGACAAAAAGCTACAAATGTAGAATATGCATAAGCAACAGGAAATTGGCTAATCTGATGGGAGCAGAGTGCATGGAGAAGCAGCAGGAAGTGGTTGCATTATCACTGAAATCATTCATAGGGAGGACAACCGCTTTTGCTTAGGATGTTAGATATGGTGTTTGTAAACCAGGAAATAGGACAATGTGGCTTATCCTCTTGGCACTGTTAATTCACCGTTTCACTCAATTAAGCAAATATTAATTGAGCAACTATCATGCCTAACAGCATGCAAAGTGCTGTAATTCAGAAATAATATGTCACTATGCTTTTAAAATGGGGTTTACAATCTGCAGAGCAGAATCCAATATACCTACAAGAAAAAAAAAAGTTTGAGTAAAGGGATTAATGAATCTGGTTTTGAGTCTTTGCCTCCAGGGTACAGAATCAACCAACACTTTCTGAATGTTTTGTATTTGCACTCTTCTGTGCTAGATATTATTTTATGTATTCTCAAATTTAGTTTTGTTCCCTGTTACTTCTTTCTCTTCTTTCCTTCCTTTCTAAAACCTAATAGATATAGATCTGCTACTATATATCAGTCAGTGTGTAAGTCAAAAGACAAGGAAGACAGAAACCATGTTGCATGGGATTTCAAATTCCATTTTAGAGATGGGTAAACTGAAATTGCATATGATTAGAAAATGTGTCCAAGATCAGATAGGGAATAAGTTAGGGAACAGGGATTCAACTCAGGCCTCAAAACATCAAAACCATTGTTTCTACCCTGAGCAAAATATAGTCCCTGGAAATTACAATTGATAAAGATTAAAAGACTAGTCATTTGGTCAAGAAAATTCTTCTTGAAAGAGAAAACAGCAAGTTCAGTTTCATGCCAGATAACATGTTCCCCAGAGGCCGACTCATTCAATCTGGCTAAGATATTATCAATTTCTATTTTTACCCGTACTTTCATATTTTCATGTAAATCTTTTTCTTTCTTTTCTTTTTCTTTTTCTCTTTTTCTTTTTTTCCCCTGCCATTTCAATTAAGATTTCTAATTAGATTTCAAATTTGAGGCATCTCCAGTAGAAAGCAAATTGCAAGAGTAGTAATTAAAGGACAGCTGTCTGTCTTTTGTCTTTCTGGGGATGAAACAAGGCTTTTTGTTTCTAAGTTATGAAATCCCAGGGAATTCTACATGTGTTTTTCTTATTGTCTTAAGAATAGTTAACTGAATTGAGAAATGCTGAATTGATATAAAAAAGTCAATGCCCTTTCCAACACAGATGCTTCTCAGCACCTGTCTTCTAGAATAAGTGTAAGTTAACACTAATATTCTGGCTCCTTGAAATTTTATTGCTATAAATACAAAATCTCCACATTTTATACAAAATCAAATCATTCTTAAATGCTAAAGTAGGCACTACCCAAGTCATTTTCCTCATTTTAAGACTTTTTTAAATTATGAGAATTTTACAAATCAAGGAGAATAAGATATTTTCAATGGAAAGGAATAAGGTTCAGAGCAGCTGAGATGCAAACCTTTTTTTATGGTTTTCCTTTGCATGATTTAAGAGAACAAATATTACTAATACTGATAATGAGAATTATTTAGTGAGCCCTTACTCCATATTATTTTCACATGAAAAGTATAATCAGGATTTGAAGCAATTAACCATATAATTCAGGTCAAGAAAAATCCTCTGCCTGAAAAAGCTAAACCACTGAAGCAAACAGATTTTTTTTCCTAGCTTGAATTATCTAGATTCTAGTAAATCAGTAAATTATCTAATATCATTTAATGTGCATAGCCACTGAATAGGTCAAATTATCTAAAAGAAGACCAGCCTCAGAAATATAAGGAACCTCTTAAAATACATATTTCCAAGAAAGAACCTTTGGAAACATTTTCTAATGCAATTCTGAAAAATAGCTTTGGGAAATACCAGGTTAAATAACGGTACACATACACATACATATAGACATAAACATATATGTTTGGTTGTTTACTATTTATTATAGGTTCTCAAAACCTCTAATATTAAAGCTCCTGCAAGTGTTACAGTATTCAGAAAATTTCAAAATTTCTTGACCCAAAACCATTTTTATGTGGTACATGTCATGGAACTAGTATTCAAAAGAGTGAACACATTGAGAATCTCTTTGTACAATCCTAAGACATTTCCACAGTGCTTTGGCAGATGCAGGAAGGTAGGGTCAGGTGGTAGATCTGAAAGCATCTCTACTCAGGGGGGTCAGGAGAGAAGACTAAGTGACAATTCACAGAAATGCCAAGCGCAGAAAGTAGCCCAGCAGACCTGGTCCAAAGGCCCCTTACCATGGCCAGTGAGGTCCCATGGGACTGGGCCAGTTCCCATATTCTTTTTCATCCAATTATCAACCCATCTTCATCTTATATCTTTCTCTACATTTGTGACTTTGCTATAGTCACTTTATTATCCTTTTATCAATTATTTTCTTTATTCACTGCTATTCCATCTTCCTGGGACTCTCTGCCTCATACTTTAACTCTTAGTTTAAATGTTGCTTTCCAGAGAAATACCCTCTGTTTAGCCAGTTCACAATAGATTCCTTCCTTGTCTCCCAACACTTTCTCCCGCAAACTGCTATTTCTCTTCATTGCACTTATCACAGTTTTTTTTTCATATGTTGATATCTGCTTATTTATTTCATGTCACCTCCATAAGACTGTAAGCACCTTAAGGGCAGCAATGGGCCATCCTGTTTTGTTCAATTCTATAAAATCACCAATTACCTCACAGATGAGTGTTTGCCATATAATAGGCCTTTAATGAATATGTGTTGATTTAATAAAAAATATTATTATTATTATTTAATTCCTTCACATTTCTATCTAGGCCTGGCCTACCTGAAACTCTCAAAATTAATTTAGTGTATACATAGAAATCAATTCCTCTTTAGGATATGATCAGCCATCTATAAAATACAGTCACACATCTTCTAAGACACCGAATTAGCATTTTTTAAATTTTTTTTTAATAATAAGGACTATAAGATTGAATTATTCATCAATCTAAATGAGTATTATGTGTTAATTACTGAGAATCATTCTTGTACCTGCTTTACTGTTGTAGTCCTCAAATAGCTCTGCTCTTTGATTATTGCTTTGCTGACTTCAGAGCTCTGTAAAGGACAAAGGACAAAATGTTAGAATGTGGTGTTTCACCGGGAACTTCTCTTACTAATTCAGACCTAGCTAAAATATTTCATAGGTTCATAATGCCCATCATTCTAAACTTGAGGGCTTACCATCACAAAATCCTGGGACATAGCTATTTCTTGTTTATATTCTTCTATGGGGATTAACTCGTTTATTCCTCATCACCGCTGGTTAGGCAAGGGTTAACCCTGCGCATTCCAGTGGAAGGCCTGCCTTTGGCCAGTTCCTGGAAAATAACCTCTGAGCTCTTGAAATAGTCTGCCTGATAAGAGAGTTTTCGTAGCCTGTGCCTTGGCCTATGCTCTCAGTTTGACCAGATCCATTTATGGTGAACACCTGTTTTTGCTTGGGGAAGGGGGAGGCTAAAAGCTGAGTAGCTGAGGTTAATCTTCGGGTGCTGCATGCTTAGTGACTGATCCCCCCACTAAAACTCGAGAGACCAAAACTCGGCTGAGCTTCTTCCCTGGTGGACCACACTTCACACAAATTGTCACACATTGTTTCTGGGAGAATGAAGCTCATCCCCATGGGATTCTGCTGGGAAGGAGCACCTGGAAGTTGGCAGAGGGACTTTGCCTCCCTTTTGCTAATCATAATCTGTTTCCTTTCACTGTAATAAATCATGACTAGGAGTGTAATGGCTTTTCTGAATCCTGGGAGTTCTAGCAAATCATCAAGCCTGAAGGTGGTCTTGGGGACTCCCCCTCTAGCCCCCCACATAACACCCTGTAAGGTAGGTACTATTATGACCCACCTTTCATGGACAGAGAAATTGGCAAAGAAAGGTGAGGCAACTCAATCAAAGTCCCATGACTAGTTTAAGTGTCAGTATTTAAATTTGAACCTAATGCTCTGGTTCCAGAGACTGGGCATTTTATATATTTTACCAATTATTTCATGTTCTTTATCTAAATATTTATAGTTATCTGTCATTCAGTAAAAGTATACCAAAAAAATGCCACTTGGTGCTTTTTCTTATTTTATTATCAGGAATAATTTTCAAATTATAAACTTATTATTAATTACCAAGATTTCATTTTATCTGCCAAAAAGAGAGCAATAACAATAATTTTTATTGTTAAAGTTGTCCTTTAACCATTATACTTTATTCAAAACAAACTTTCCCCCAGCCTTGTAAATAATGCAGATGTGACATAAGATTTTCTCACTCACATTCTCATATATCTCTCACTATTCTAAATGGTTTTTATCTTTTTTTAAATTTTTTAAAGATTATACTTATTTATTTGAGAGAGAGAGTGAATGAGAGAGAGAACACAAGCAGGGGCAGAGGGAGAGGGAGAAGCAGACTACCCTGCCTAGCAGAGAGCCTGATGCGGCGCTCGATCCCAGGGTCCTGGGATCATGACCTAAGCCAAAGACAGACACTTATCCAACTGAGCCCCCAGGCACCCCTCTAAATGATTTTTAATATGGGGGCTGAAAACTACAGAGTCAGCTTTAAATCACACCAGGTGTTGCTTAATTTGGGGAAAATAAAACACTTTATCACAATTTTTTTTAAGATATCTAATTTTTTTTAGCTTGCTAGAACCAGAGTTGCTTTTAAGATAAGTGCCAGAAAAAATAGTTTCAGAATAGGAGAAAGCATGAAGCTAGTCATTCAGTTGCTACGAAAGGAAATGAAAACCATCTGCTGATTTCTAAACACAAAAGATAAAAATAATTTACCAGTTACAGAGAAAAGTCCTAAGTTCGCTATAGTTAAGCCTTTATTCAGGTAGACTTTGCAAAAAGTACCTTGCTGCAATTAGTCATTGCCATTAGGTGTATGAGGTAGTGGCTTTATTCTAATACTTGAACAAAACTGTAATCCGTTCTCTTATCTTTCTTTTAACCCACCCAAGACTAAGCATTGTACTCTGTTGTACATACAGTGGATGACAGTGTCTTGCTCTTATCACTTGAATAGACTGCACACCTCTTGATACTTTGAGGTGTCATTACATCTGCCAAGGTAATGAGTCTGTCTACCTTGCAATGTGGATGTACAGAGGTCAACATACTCTCCTATGACCTGTAGTGTCCAAACAATCCCTTAAATAACTTTAAAAAATACAAGTAGAGCATACACAGCAAGGGCAACACCTCACACAGTGATGATGAAATATATCAAATGTAAACCAGATAATTGTGCAGGTCCAAAGAATAAAAGTTTCTGATGCAGAAGGACCAACTGTGTTATGTGAGCCTGAGTCTTTCAGACTGGTTTTGTCTCCATTATGGTGTTATCCCTTGTCAGTTCTCACCATGTAGCAAGAACCAGTATTTACCCAAACTCACCAAAGTGTATGGTCACTTTAAATGAACACCCCACAGAGTTAATGCCAATCAAAAGCCCTATTTAACACTTATCATCACCTTCACAATACATGATCGAGTAGATCATTATACCTTAATTAGGTCATAAAAGTTTGTTTTTAAGTTGAAAATGTAAAATTCTACTTTGAACAACTTCTGGATGTTAAGCTGAATTGAACATTACTGACTAGAATTAAAATATGGAATATTAAAAGAAAATTGGAATAGGGATGCCTGGGTGGCTCAGTCGGTTAAGCATCTGCCTTTGGCTCACGTCATGATCCCAGGGTCCTGGGATCGAGTCCCTCATCAGGCTCCCTGCACAGTGGTGAGACTGCTTCTCCCTCTGCCCCTCCCCCCTGCTTGTGCTCTCTCCCACTCTGTCAAATAAATAAAATCTTTACAAAAATTGGAATAGTCTTTGTTGGGCTCCACCTTATGCTATTGAGATTGGTGCCTTCTTTGGTTCCTCTATCCATTCCCTTTGTGGCCCTGAATGATACTTTCACCCTTCACATCCTGTCTCCTTCTACCCCAGTGTCCTGGTGTGACGGCCATATAGCTAAATTCAAAGCTAGCTATTTGCCTTTTCCATGTTGCCCCATGAAAGAAAGCTGGGCTTGAGGTGCCTTGTTGTTGTTCCCAGACAGTCTGGGTGAGTCCAGGTCAAGATCCCCAATCAGTGAGAGGATTGGGGATATTATGCCGAAGGCAGGAGCTGAGTAGAATGGAGTTTAGAAAAGATCAGGGAGAGAGCACGCTGTGTCTATCAGGAAATTGTATGATATGAAGGTCCTCATCAGTTCTGAAAAACACACATTCATACCCTGAAAGATCCAGCAGTTAAGAAACAAACAGAGAAACAAAACTGCAAAATGCCCTTGAGTAACTGCAAAGTAGTCAGAAAGTAAGTACAGGAAGTAAAGGAGAACTGATATAATATTAATAAAAGCTACCCATTTTGTAGGCTGTTGTAAATATTTAGTTAAGGCCACACAGCTAATAGGAGCAGAACCTGTCTTCAAACCCAAGCAGTCTGGTTCTAGGACTCATTCTCATAACCACTAGCCCAGGCTGCCTTTTTGGGAAGGCCTCGTATGCCATGTTAAGGATTAGACCTTGCTTTCCAGGAGATGTTGAAACTATAATCTTTTTTTCTTAAAGATTATTGACTCATTTTAGAGAGAGAATGAGTGAGCATGGGGTGGGGAGGGGCAGAGGGAGAGGGGGAGAATCCCAAACAGACTTCCCGTGACCCCGAGATCAACTGAGCCAAAATCGAGAGCCGGCTGCTTAAATGACTGAGCCAACTAGGCACCCCAAAACTATAAAGATTTTATGCAAGGAAATAAGATGATCAAGTTTGTCTTTTAGACAGAATAGTGAGTAGCTGTGAGAAATATAGCCTGGAGGAGTAAGACATTAGAGAAATTAATTTGGGGGCTATTACAAAGCTTTAGCAAGAGATGACCAAGACCTAATTTAAAGCAGTGGTGGTAAGGATAGGGAGGGGTAGATTTCATAGATATTCAAGAGGAAAAGTGGACCTGGTGATTTCTTTTTGTGGGGAGTAAAAAAGGAGATTACTACCAGGTTTCATTAAATCAATCTAGACATGTACAACATATAACCTACTGATTTTGTTGATCCAGAAATTCAACCCTTTAAATTGTCTTGCCTTTTTTTGTTTTTCTAGCTTTATGTGTGTTGGCTTGTGGTATCAATAGAAACTAATAGTCCAAATATCTAAATATATGTAGAATATAACCACTAATAAGTACCAATGCAGAGAATCAAACATTTGAGAAATTTTTCAATCCACTGTTCTGTCCAAAAGTGAGTCTTCCAGATTACAATATAACTATGCACTGCTCTGATATTAAATCTCAAAAACATCTAAAAAAAAAAGCTTGCCTCACATATGATATACATATAGCTATTAGAATCTAAAATAATTAACTGTCTCTAGAATAGATGTGAAATTTAATTCTACCTCCAAAAGCAGGTTTTCAAAATCTTACTTTAGTTCCCCAATTCCCATCCCTCATTGTAAAGGCAAAGTAGAATTTAGCTGACAATGAGATTATTCTCAACATGATCTTCACATTAACTAAAAAACTACAAAAAATTCCATTAAAATTAATAAAATGATTCAAGAAGAGTCTCAGGATGTGAGGTAAATTTGTAACAATAACTTTCCATATAATAGCAATAAACGGAAAGTAAAGTTTTCAAAATAAATGAATGCAACTGGGGCACCTGGGTGGCTCAGATGGTTAAGCGTCTGCCTTCGGCTCAGGTCATGGTCCCAGGGTCCTGGGGTCAAGCCCCGCATCGGCCTCCCTGCTCAGCGGGAAGCCTGCTTCTCCCTCTCCCACTCCCCCTGCTTGTGTTCCTGCTCTCGCTGTCTCTCTCTCTGTCAAATAAATAAAATCTTTAAAAAAATAAAAATAAAAATAAATAAATAAATAAATAAATAAATAAATGCAACTCCTGATAGCATCAGTAATCTTGAACCACTATAGCAGTAACAGTAAAATCAATAAGCTACTTTGAATAATTAGGTAAAGAAAATTATAAAAAGCTGTAAAGAGAAATAAGGAACTATAACAAATGCATGAATAGGAAAGTATTTACAAAA